TTATATATTTTGTTTTTAGATTTAATTTGTATATATACTAAAGGATTTTAATTATATATGTTCAATTTTTTTTTCTTTTTGCAGTACGCGATCATTGCCACAGGGCTCGGAGTGAAGGCGTGGACTTGAAAGCACGCCGGAAGCTGATCATTGCTAGCATCTTATGTTTGGTATTCATGATTGCCGAAATCGTGGGTGAGTAGCAGGCAAAAAGCGGTATTAAATCCATCTTTGTTGAAGAACCTTTTTTGCACGTTCACAATGTGAAAGGGGTATATAGGTTTGGCTGTCTATATGATGAGCTCAAAGTAATATAATCAATTCAAACTAGCGAGCCGAAAATGTTTACTCTTCCTCTTGGCTTCTCACAAAATGATAGTTTAAATTATTACAGCTTTTATCAGCTATATATCTTGGGTTTACCAATATACCAACTCAGCAACGTAGCATGAACAAGTATTTGTTAGCCGGCTATGACCCACTGCAACATCTTCACCGTTTTTGTCCCTTATTCAGTTCTTAATTTTTTTTTTTTTTTTTTTTTTTCATTTCACTTTGATTTTCCCTCGTCTTTCACTTTTTCATTTTTTGCTCGTTGTTTACTTCAAATTCCCTCAACTAATTTCGCTCACTTCAGAGAGCTGAAAGTAGAGAAAAGCTCGGCTAAAATGTCAGTCAAACAAAAGGCGAAAAAAAGCGAAGAAGCAAAATGAAACGAAGTAATAAAAGGGACGACGAGACGATTAAAAACTGAGCACCGGAAGTGCAACAATATGGCGACCGGAAGGGCTTACTGTCTWCCATCCCTTTCCCGCACACACACACACTCACAGAGGGAGAGCTGTATGTGAGTGTGTGTGTGTGTGTGGAGTGGGCTGTTATACAATAAACATTTAATTTTCGAGCGCTGCCAATGCGACGCTGTCGTCCGCATTGTCGGCTGTTGCTGTTAATCGCTTTGCAATTACCTACAATGTGCCATCGAAGCCGTTGGCCACATTCACTGGGACAGTGCCACAGTTCCCTTGCCCCTTGCCACTCCCCCCTTTCACTGAGTGAACTTTTACCTCATTCAGTTTGCTGTTGCTGTTGCCTGTGCCTGGGCCTTTGCCTTTGCTCTTGCTTTTGCCTTTAAATCGAAATTGTTGACTGGCTGAATGCGGCACCTCCTTTTTGCTGTTTTGCTAGCCATTTGATGTGAGCTGACTAGAGGGAGTTAGGCAGAGGGGGCGTGACAACTGTCTTTGTCCATTGCAGTGCTCCCACAGATTGCAAGCTAATTTTTTCGTGTTAGTTCTGTGTGTGTGTTTTTTTTTTTTTTTATTTGTGTTGCATTTATTTACTCCTTTGCTCATACTTGTCTCTCTTACTTTGTCTACTGTCCGACAGGTGGCGTTTTGTCGAACAGCTTGGCTATCGCAACGGATGCCGCACACTTGCTAACGGATTTCGCCAGTTTTATGATCTCACTGTTTGCCATCTGGATAGCCGGACGTCCATCCACGCAACGGTATGTATACAGAGCACCCTATTCCTATTCCCTATTCCTCCCCTCCTATCAGCTAAAGGACTTTCGCTGTGTACAGTCTGAGGCCAATCAATAAAATGTTAAACTTTTTTGTGCTCCTACAACTATTTCTTGACACGACGCTCGGCGCTCTGCTGTTCTCGGCCGCCAGGCGGAATATGAAACTTTAGATCTATGTGACAGCAGTGCAACAAATTATTGAATTGACTAGCGCAGTAGAAGGAAAAGAAATTTAAGGCGAAAGAGATAGATACATAGAGACAGTAGGAAAGAGATAAACAGTAAGAGATTCCTTGCGATGACTCTTCAAATGGAAATTTAATATAAAATAATATGAAAACTTCAATTTCTTTTGAGACAGATGAATAATTTTTTGAAGAATGCTTTGAATGAGCTTTGAATTCTTTGTTAGGATTTTTTTTTTTCTTTAATGTTCTGAAATCTTACATATTTAAATCAAAATTTGTTTATAACAAAATTATGAAATAGTAATTTTTAATTTATTTGTATACATTACAATGAATTATATT